ATTAGTTAAAGCAAGGTGATTTAAAGTTTGACTAGATTAGAGTCGTGTTAACTAAACAGCAGCAGTGTTTAGAGCAACGTCATTTAACTACAAACTTTAAAGTTTTAACATATCTAATTGATGCTTCGATATTGTAATAGCATTAATGTCAACTGTGTCAGAATTCAAATCTGTGCCTGTTTGGTACGTTTGTCGCCTGTCGTGTTAGACCTGTGACGTAACTTGACACGTTTCTCCCTGTTACAATCTGTAATTAATTAACTGCTGCTCCTCTTGCCAAATTTGCTACACGCAAGTATATTTTCTCTATTACTCTCTCCCTCATTCCGTGTTACAACCCATTTTCTATCGATTAATTTTTAAATAATTTAATAGAAAATACATAATTTTTTTTACAATTTCAAACAAATTTTTTAATACTTATTTTTTTTAAATTTAAATAAAGTAAAAAAAAAATAATATAATAATAAAAAAAAGGAGCAAGAGTCAAGTAGAGAGAGAGGAGAAGGGCAGATTTTTATTGCAAGTAGTAAAGACACAAGTAAAATTCTGCGAAACTTCCATAAAATCAAATCAAGTTAAAAGAGAGGAGGAAGCACAGTTTTTCATCATTCGAAACAGAAATAATTTAAAAAATATATTNTGAATCTGAAGGGGTTTTTTTTTTGGCAAATATTCATTTATCCAGCATCACAAAACACACACAGACACACAAAATAAATTCAGTAAGCTACTTACTTATAAAACACAATAAATTTATTAATATACTGTATATATACAGTTCAGAAACATCGCATTACACTTATTATACAATACAAACGTATATTATCATTCAGTATAAATAAAACATATTTGTTTTTTTAATATAGGCCTATATTCTGGTATTATTTATGTATAATTTATTAATATTATACCATAATAAATTATATAATGTATATTATACGGTATAATAAACTGAAATTATACTCTAACAGTTTTGTTTTCTTGTAAAGTAGATATAGAATTTCTGTAAGATAAAGGATAAAGAAGAGAAAGATATCTTTTGTTGCTTGTTGTGCCATCTTCTGCAGATGTAGACATTTTGTCTCCCCACTTGTCTTATTTTTATATAGTTTTTTTTTTTGTTTACACTCCATAATATAAGAGAATATACAGGTTTTTTTTTTTACTTGTTTTTGTAGTTAAGTTACTTCGGGAGATGTTAAAAGTCAGAAACAAACAACATTTGTTTATTTATTCACTTTACTTTTAAAATTTCCTTAATTTTTACTTAATTAAATTCGAGAAAAACATGTAAATTATTTTAAAATGTATAATTTCCATACTTAATCTTTAATTAATCAACTTTAAAGTATAATAAATTAAGTAAACGTAATTTAAATATGTATTTTTTTTTTTGATACCTTGAAGACAGAAGATTTGTGAGAAAATTATATAATTTTCTTGTTGAAGATGATGAGGAGGATAACTTATTAATACTACAAATTTGGATAATTTTTCATCTTCCTCATCTTCTTATAGAGGAAAATAATATCATCTTTCTTATCATTTTAACTTAAAGAGGATAATTTATTGATGCTTAATTTTTCAAACTTGCAGCATCAGTAATTTATCAATATGAGAAAGATGAGATGTTATTGATGCTTCTTATCCTTATCATTTAAATTAAGAAAAATGTACGATAATTAATAATATAAATTTGAAAACTTAAGCATCTTTAACTTTTCATCCTCCTCATCTTCTTAAAGAGGATATAATAACATCATTTTTTTTATCATCTTAACGTAAAGAGGATGAAGGGAAAGATAAATTATTGATGCTTAATTTTTTAATTTATATTACTAAATAATAACTTATCATCTTTATTATCATTATAACTTAAAGTAAGAGAATGAAAAAGAGGATAAGTTATTATTCTTTTCTTTAAGATGAGGAGGATGAAAAGAGTTATCGATGCTTTTTTTTATCTTCCTCAACTTTTTTCAATTAAATCCAAAGGAAGAATAGGAGAATTAATAATACAAATTTGAAAAATTAAGCATTAATAACTTCTCCCCCTTCCAGATTTTCAATTTAAAGTGAAAACACGTGGAGGAGGAGGAGAAGGAGTAAGAAATTATCGTGTTAATTAGTAACCATTACCATTATTACTTTCGACTAACCTATAAAAATATCCGAAAAAAAGGGAGGAAAATACATATTCAGAGTTCATTAAGTTAATGACAATAAATCAAAAAATATAATAAAGTAAAAATGGATTTAAAGCATTTGACAGTCGAATTATTATTACACAAACGTCACCAAATTACGATAAGGTGATGAAGCGATATCCCTATTAAATAAACGACTATCGAACACCAGAATCGATATATACATAAAGGAAATTGCCTTACTTAATTAGATTATAGTAATTGTATATTTGATAAAAGAAAAAAAAAACATAAGGGGAGAAGTGAAATAGCGTGCAATTATTGTCTTTGGGTTTTCCCCTTTACTTTTTCTTTAGTGTTACTCGTCGATACCCAAACGTCTCCTGATTTTGTCATCTTATAAATCAAGTTAATGCTAGAGGTAAATGCCTTAATATCTCGTTGCAGACAGATAAACAGTGTTATTATTCTGAAAGTGTCAACTCTTGTCACTTATCGAAAAGTTTTTCCCTTCGTCTGTTATTGATCACGTGCTCGTTTTCGCCCCCTTCCATTGGCTAAAGTGTGGAGTTTTTAGTGTCTTTTTAATTTGTTTTGCTGCCGTTTTTGGATGAATGACACTTCAAAAAATATCACTCGATTTAATAACTCGAGAGAGAGAGAGAGATATTTTTAGCAAATTATCTACTCTATAACGTTATATCGAGTATTTTTTTTAATGTTTTTCTTTGATATTACTTACTACAAACTAATCTTAAGAAGGGGTTAAATGTTATAATTAGGTAATTCGACGATATATTCGGTTATCTCTTCTATAATCCTCTTTTAACGTCACTTGTTCTTTATCGTATTATGCGTATTATCTCTTTTGAAACGATATAACGAGGTATAATTTACGTTTATTCTTGCGGTAAATTACCAGTTCATTAATATATTTTAAGACTACGTTTTCTTCCTCATAACCCGTTTATAACGTATACGATTCTTTATTGAGAGGTCTACTCTTTTACATAAACTTTTTTTTTATACAAAAGAAAGATGTGTGTTATAAGGAAGTAGAAGATTAAGAAAGGACAGACACACAGACGGGGGATAGAGCGAATTTTTAGGTCTTCAATTTTTTCAAATTTCAGCTCGAAAAAACTACTTAAACGGAAAAAATTCTTCTATACGGAGAGATTTTCTATGTTAAAAAAACCCGTTTACAACGGAAAACTGGGGGGGGGGGAATACACGTCAACGTGCGATTTCGGCTTACACAGGTTTAAACGAACGCAAATATGAATAATCGAGAAATTTTACTGTGGTAGAGGTCATTTTTTTTCTCTCCTTTCAAACAAGATACAAAGTTAGAAGACAGATATTTAAGTTCGTCGACCGTTTATCTTACTTAGTTAAACGTCGAACTTCCTTAGTGTTGACGTGGTAATTTCCTACGTCAGAAAAATCTCCTTTGTACGACACATATTGGCAAGTAAAAAGGTCAGTCATTGGTTGCTCGGGGGCTGGAATTTTATAGAAGATACTATAGCTTATTGTACTCTAACCGATTCTGGAAATTAGAACAGATAAGATAAAACGTAAAGCTATCGACTTATAGAAGAAGAACTCCCCTGGAGGTTTTGCTTCACTGTTAAATTTAATAACTTATCTTCTTCCCTGTGAAAATAACGTCGAGGAATTTCCAACATCTCTAACAATAAAAATATAAAAAATAAAAATTAAACTTCTTTTGTTATTTTCCTTTCTCCGTTTCAGAGAGAGAGAGAGAGAGAGAGAGGAAAAAAAAGGTGGACAGAATTTGTTAAACGTGTCTTTTCATTATTATGATAACACATTTAATTATAAATATCTGTTCTTTCTGCTATTGTACTCTTGTTTTTTTCATCATTGTTCATTACTAAAATATATTCTTATTATGTATTTTCATAAGATTTGTAGAGAAAAGAAGGTTCTACTTATCTCTCCCGTGCTGGAAATGACTTGACTACACGCTTCAGATATCCAAAAGAGAAAATACGAAACGAAATTAAAGTATTATTCGAAGTTTTGAATGAAATTCGAGTGAATTACTTTCTTCAAATTATCATATTTTTCCAGTTTGCATGCTTAAAAAATGAGAATTTCGACTGAAAACTTTGTATGTAAGTACGGTAAAACCTGTGTAAGCCGGAATACATTTTTTTTTCCTCCGGTTTGGCAGGTTTCCGTTTTGAATAGGGGGTCTCTTTTTTTAACATAGAAAATCGCTCCGTTTCGAAGAAATTTGTTAATGTTTAGACAAGTTTTTCCCTTTTATTCGGGTCAATTTTGACTTGTTTTACTGTACACAACAACAACGTCCTAAGTATATACAGTTACTATGGAAGATAAATAAGCGATTTTATTTAACGAATTAATTAATTTATCATCGATAATTATTCTTCGGGAAATGGCTTCTTTATTAAATGAGTTAATTTAATATTTATGTAATCAAAAATAGTTACTATCATTTAATAATTTAACGCGATACAACCCGATTAATAAAGCATTACGTTAACGATTCGACATTTGGAATTTAAATTTTCAATTCGAATTGTTTTAGAATTAGTTAAGATCCTGTACGTTTGTCGATACGTAAGAATATAGAAGAGAAATTTGAGTTTTTTTAAAGGATTATTTTGCAAAGTTTCTCACAATAAAGGAAAAAATAAACGAATAAAGAAGCGAGAGAGAGAGAGAGAGAGAGAGAACAATATTTCCTAAATTTGATCGGATTCTTTTTGTTATTTTTTATTTATTTATTTATTTTTTCGGCCGTAACGACGTCATTTCCTTTTGATGGTGACGAAACAATCTTGGCAAGCAATCTATTGTTGGCAGGGACCTAGAGCAATCGATGCTAGATTAATGTTCAACCCAATATTTTCGACGGTAGTCACTTCTTTTGGATATTTCTTTAAATGTTCTTTGCCTACTCCGTCTTTTAATCCTTATCTTTAACGAATAAGAACGGATTTTATGGTATAAAATTAATTATTTTAAAAATTAATTATGTTCTATTAATAAATATAATAATATGTGGAAAGAAGAGAAGTAAATATCTTTACTTTTCTAGCTTCAAATAATTGTATTTATAATAAAAAATCGAAATATTTGAAATTTATTATTATTTATTTATTATACAGGTTTAATTAATGTAATTTGTAATAATTAATTAAAGAATTTAACGAAAATTTTAAAGAAATGTACAATTTCAACAATCCATGTTGACCATGTATCGGTGATATTTATAATTTAATTAATAGAAATGTTAATGTGATACACATTAAATAATATTGCACGTAAACTATATAATTAATGTCCAAGAATTTCGTGAAATAGTAGTAAAAATAATGTAAAAAAATTCGTTAAAAGTGAAATTGTTTATTGTTAATTATGGTAGATAAAAATATTTATAAGATTTGAATGATTTACCTTACAGAAAATCAATTAACGAATTAGATTACAGAATTTAAATATAACTCTTCCCACTTTTAAGTAACTAACCAATCGTCGCTCGGATAGTCGCATCTCCAACCAATCATCATTAAATTTTTAAATACGTTATCTTCCATATTCCACAAACGACTACCTATGTTTAAAAAAAAACTTTTTAAACTTAATTTTTAAAGATTTTAACATTATAATTTTTTGTTTTATTGATTTTATGGATTATTTAATTATATATAATTGCTCATACATTGATAAATTTTTAATGAATCAGTTTAAAATTCTAGTAATAACGAACGTGATTGAACTATGATCTTCCTTTAAGATTAGTTAAAGCAAGGTGATTTAAAGTTTGACTAGATTAGAGTCGTGTTAACTAAACAGCAGCAGTGTTTAGAGCAACGTCATTTAACTACAAACTTTAAAGTTTTAACATATCTAATTGATGCTTCGATATTGTAATAGCATTAATGTCAACTGTGTCAGAATTCAAATCTGTGCCTGTTTGGTACGTTTGTCGCCTGTCGTGTTAGACCTGTGACGTAACTTGACACGTTTCTCCCTGTTACAATCTGTAATTAATTAACTGCTGCTCCTCTTGCCAAATTTGCTACACGCAAGTATATTTTCTCTATTACTCTCTCCCTCATTCCGTGTTACAACCCATTTTCTATCGATTAATTTTTAAATAATTTAATGGAAAATACATAATTTTTTTTACAATTTCAAACAAATTTTTTAATACTTATTTTTTTTAAATTTAAATAAAGTAAAAAAAAAATAATATAATAATAATAATAATAATAACACGAAGCAGTGCCTCCATCTGTCGTCGACGACGAAAGACTTTTAATGATAAATAAAACTAAAATTTAGATTTTTATTTATTTTTGTAGAAAAGTTTTACAGTGATTTAATATAAAAATATTTATAACTATATAAATTGATCGATTTTTTTATTTATTTATTTTATAATTCATACAGGTAGAATCTGGATAAATTCATGTGGTGGTTGGTGTTACATTTGGTATTGGTGGAGGGTCTCTAAAGGTATGACGTGGTCAAGTTCAAAATAAATTCAATCAAGTATTGGAAAACGTGAGAAAAAACACGAATATGCCTAAGGCATACAGAATATCCTTCTGTATCGAAATTGTCAGGAAACAAAGTAGATAAAGTCGGGAAATTTCGTTGAAACATGGAGAAAGGGAGCATATGGAACTTGTCGAAAACAAAAACAAAATAATAATAATAATAAAAAAATATATATATATACTGTACTGTATTACTTATAAGTCGACCTCATTTCGCTCAAGGGGAGAAAATTATGTTTATAATTAATGTAATGCTGTTTATTATCGCCGAGATACACTCTTGTCAAAATTTTTTTTTCGGTGGTTTAAAGACTTAAAAATAACGATTTTTTAATTATTCTGTGCATTAATTTCTCATCGTAAGTGGTGAGAAGACAACAGATGTATTAAGGTGAGATCAGATGAGTTTTAACCTTTTGACCCGCAGTGTTGTCAGAAGGTATTTGCCAAGCCAAGTATATCAATCTTAGGATTTAACCTGGTAATTGCAATCTTTCACGCTTTGATCATACACGCTACGGATTACAAACTTTTTCACTACTTCCTTTCCCCCAATTTCCGTTTAGTTTGGTGTCTGTTCGATTTCTAATTTATCTTTCTTTCTCTTTGTCGGCTCTTGTTACTCGCAATCTAATTTCTTTGCTTAAGTTTTTACTGAAAGAAAATCAAAGTAAAACCCCTCTTTCTCGTGCACGAAAAGCGTATTTTTTTACTGAAAAATTCTACTAAATATTATTTCTGTGATGATAATCACTGTAGGATCTTTTTATTTGTTTGAGAGAAGAAATTTTCGATTAATCGTTTATTATAAAAAAGCATTCGAGTAATAATAATAATAATCGATATTTACTGTGTAGCTCTTAAATAAAGAACGTTAATTAACTTATATAGATTTTATTTTAAGAACATTTTACGGGTTTAATTTATCTTATTATTATTATTATTTTTTAAACTTTTAAAACGTTAGAATATAATAAATGAGATTTTAAAAATGATTTATTAAACTTACAGATTACATCAGGAATTTTACATTTCAAGCTGACAAAGCGAGTAAATTTGACTAATGAGTTGTAAAATGATTCATCATTCGACGTATGAAATATTAAGTAGGAAAAAAAAATAAAATTCGAGAAGGAGTTTATTACTTGGAAACTTTTTCAACAGTTTTCAAACTACTTCTACGTACGATTTCTACTTTTAACTCGGCCATCTATTGAATAACAATGTCGGAAAGAATCAATTTGCAAACCAAAAAAGCCTTTTTTTTTTTTTTATTTTCTCGAACGAGAGACCATATTTGCATCCTACAGTTAAGTAAAACAGTGCCATTATTCACTCGGTTTTCTGTCTTCCACCTAAACAATTGGATCTTTCCTCTAGCTCTTACGATAATAACGGTTTGGAAACATCCAGCTTTCAACTATCCGATTCGAACGTTCCACAAGTTCATCCAGGAAAAGGGGAATAAGGGGAGAAAAGTAATGAAAAGAACTTTTTCTCGAGGGAGTCTTGACGGCATCTCGTCTGCTCTCACGGAAATTACACGAGCAATGGATAATAAGAAATTACTGCAAGTCTAAATGACTATGAGATGCTCCAATTCTCTTATCCTTCAGATAAAATCTTCTGTATCATTTATTAATAATGCTACTACATCGTCAGATTGTATTTATGTCTGACGTGATTCGAGATATTTGATCGTATTACGGCGTTAAAATTTGAAAATATATTCCATTTTTTCTTTTTTTTTTACGTTTAGTTTTAATTTACTACGATTCATTCATAAATTATTTATTTATTTATTTATTAACAATTGAAATTGATTATTAAAAGGAATGAATGGATGAATCGATGAGTAAAAATTAATTGTTGAAATCAACAACTTTACGATGCGATCTTTCACGTTTCATTTACGTTTATGAATGGAAATTGACACATTTCTGAAACGTGTCATTTCCCATTCATAAAGAAGAGAATAATATAGTAAAATATTATCCGAATTCAATTAATTCTAAGCTAGATAATTAATTATAAATATCTTACGTTTAAATAAATGAAACGTCTCATCTTTGACGAAATTTTTTTTTACAACTTAATTACTTTTTAAAAATTATTTTAAAAAATATCAAATAAGAATTAAATATCTGATTCAAACTGTAATTGAATGGCGTAGTAATTATTCGAATAAAAAAAATAAATAAATTACAGTTTCTTTCTTCTTCTTTCATACAGCTTTTTAGTGGAAATAAACGTTTTTTTTTCTTTCCTTCCAAATTTTGTATTTATGAAAATGACAAAATCAAAAGAAAGAGAGGAGAAATTCTTTTTTTTTAGTAAAAATAGTACATGCCAATTAACTGGGAGCTGCGACAATGTCATTTCTATGCTAATGAAGTCGTGTCCGAACCACAAGAGAAGTGTAAACAATGAAATCGACCCCTCTATTAGTGGCGTTACGTATACAGCATTTTTTTTTCTTTTATCAATTTCTTGAAAGGTCTAGAAATATATTATTTAATGAAAATTTTTGAATATATTTTTGTATTAAAAATTAGATATTATTATTTTTTTTTGTAAGGAACAGTCTAGAAAATTATTTAAAAATCTTCTATTTACAAAGGGTAATAATATCTCGTATGTAAGTTATAATTTAATGTAATAAACCGCAGCATTTCTTTAATAAAAGCTTTAATTCTCTTGATACTTCTTTATTTTTTTAAAAAATAAAATTACAATATTATTTAGCATTTTTTTTTTTTACTAAAAATGTAAAGTAAAAATATTACAAGACAATTGAATACTTTATTAATAGATTTGATGCCTATAGAAACAGTAAAGTAATATTTTTATATTATTTTTTTTATATTTATAGGAGTATAAAGGCTTCGAAATTATAAAAAAAATTTTATAGAGTTCCTCCCTTTTTATCTGTTATATTTAAAGCTAGCGATGAATATTACATACGCGAGTTATATTTAGCATTAAAAATTGCTTAGCGGAGAGTATATTAAAAATATCGAATAAAATTGACACGAAATATTCATCTAGTTCTAATATAAGCAAAATGAAAACATATCTAGTAGAGTTAACATCATAAAAAAAGTACCTAGAGGAACTGAAACTTAATATATTTGTACATAAAAATACATACATACATACATACAGACGGAGACGAATTTATTTTTAAACGAACTTAAACTTTCTTATCTTCTAAACCGAGAATACTTAAAGAAGAAAAAAGGGGGAAAACACTTATAATTTCTTTCGTCTAAATTTAATTAAATTTTTACTCGTAAACATCTACGAGGTTCTCCTCCATTGAAATGATCAAATCGATGCTTTTCTTATTTTACACTTCCAGAATCTCTAAGCTCTCTAAAATTAAAGAAAAAAAAATTAGAGGAGGGGGAACAAATAATTTAACCATCGCAGAAGATAGTTTAGAGAAGTTGTAATTTCAAACGAATTCTTTATTTAGTATTAATTGCAACTTAGTACAAAAGAGAGTTTTCTTCTCTCTTCCCTAGTAGCATCCTTTCATCCGGATGAGAACTGGAAGGAAGATGCTGCAGCAGACAACATTACATCAGCCATTCTTCTAAATTGACGGACCGCAAAACGATCTTCAGACCATTGCTAACGATAAGAATCCTTGGATGAATGTCAAGACCACCATAAATCAAATAAGCTAATCGTTTCTGTCAGACTTTGTCGGGTTTAACAGATCATGCACCTATATCCTTCATCTTCACTAACTCATTTTACTAAAGTTAAAAATAAAAAAATAAAATAGGGAAGAAATTTTACTTTATCGGCATTTTTCGATAAAGAATATATGCAAGATTTGTGATACTTTTTACAGGAGTTATCGTTTATTATCGCTATTTTATACATTTATTACCGGATTTAACTCATTCTTTTACTTTTTTTTTAAAAGGAAAAAATAAGTTTCGTTACAATTATTTTTGTATTTTCTGATTGCTAATTATTATTATTAATATATATATTTTTTCATTACATTTTTAAGTGTAGCAGGTAGAAATTTCATCAGAATTTTTTTTAAATTTTATGTTATAATTTTATACTTTACACTAATATATCTTAATGTATAGCTTATAATTAATAGAATAGATGAATTTAATATCTGAAAAATACTATTTTCTATTGAATAAAATCAATTAAATAGTAATTCTTTCTTCGTAAAGAAATTTTAAAAGAAATTAAATTAAATATTTAAAAATTCCTGAAGAAAGAAAATATTTAACTATGGAAAAAGAAAGATAAATATAGCATAAATATCTAGAAGAATAATAATAAAAAATACGTTTAATATGTTAGAAAAACGTTTGAAAAACTCTTAAAAAGTTGAATTAGGCGCATTATCTTTGATTTAAAGATTCTTTCGAACGTTTAGAAATGATAAACATTTTGCAAACGTTCTACAAAAGAAAATGGAAAGAATTTGCATATGCAAAAAAAATTTAAATATTTTCAAACAGAGAAGAAAATGGAAAGAATTTGCATATAAAAATATTTTGTATTTTTTTTTTAATCATTTATTAGCAATTACTAGCATCTGTAAGCTGTTATTGGTGTATGTAAATATTTGTATATAGGCTATTCGAAACGCAAATTAAAGCACTTATAAGCACTTGACATGCTTGTAAATATTTGATAGTAATTGTAAACAATGTTTAGTAAATATTTACAATATTATAAACGTTAAAAAGCATTATAATTGTTAAACATGTCGTACGTTAATACGTATATATGTATACAAGACAGGGATTACATTTGCTTCGTCTTTAAGTTATAGCATATAAAAATATTTCTCCTTTATGATGCCCTTGTATCTTGTTTAACTTATGTACAGTACTGTACAGATTCGGTCATAAACATGCATGTAGTACACAGGACCTGAGAGACGACTGTAGGCCCTCTTCAAAGACATAGAAACATGAATAATTAGTATTGTATGGTGCCGTTTACGTAAAGAGCTATATTTTGAGGGTCCCTCTTTATGCAAACCCGATCCTAACGATCTTGCTTATCTTTTTCTATCTTATTGTATAGTACAATACAGTAAAATTTAATTAATTTAATAGTAATTACTGATAATATATAAGCAAACATATTTTATATTTGCATATAAATTAGTTTTCTAGAATTACTTGCTTCTAATTTTAAACAATTAAATATATTCTCTCAGTAGTCGTAAGCGTAGTATACAATCTTTAAGTAAGTATACAATCTTTAATAAGAAAATAAAACAAAAAACAATTAAATAATAAAAATTAGCAATTTTTATCTATAATTTACGACGAAAAACATAAATATTTATGAATATTTTAAATAATAAATCGCGACATAGTTAAAACGTAAATAGTAAAGTACGGTTACAATACTATAGAGAAAGCTCGCATCGACTTATTTATGACTTTTTAAAAATAATTTATCGATAGAAGCATTACTTGAAGTGTTTATTAATCGTTCCACCGTGTTTAATTTAAGAAAAAAATATATATATTGTAAAAAAAATAGAAACTTTACTTTTACAACAACAGAGTTATAGTTTTCAACCACGATAAAAACGCATTAAGTCTGTAGAAAAATTTCTCAACGGAAAACAATATAAGACGGTAGAAAACATTTAGAATTATAGATGAAAAGGGAAATCGAAGAAACGTCATAAACTTCTTCCAGATGCTCATTCTCCTTCTGGCTAAAGATATACGATTGAAACTATCCCACTTAGTTTTTAATTTTATATCAGAAAAAAGGAAAGTAAAACAAAGAAAAACAAAAGGAGAAGAAATTCACATTTTCAATTTTGATAAATTCCTCTCATTTTCTATCTTTTCCTTTCGGCTACGTTCGAGAATACACAGCTTTATATAAAAAATAAAGAAAAGTAACAAAACGTAGGCGAAATTCTCATCAGTAGGTTAATGACTTTTCCACAAACTTAACAGATTTTATTATTACTTTTTAATGTAAAATAAATTTTCTTACGTCAGAAAAAAAATCTAGAAACCTTAATTTCTAAGATCGTAAATTCTTTTAAGTGTTTAATTAAGTAGTAATAATAATTGTTTAGTTTTTAAGAGGATCGTTTATCTTGTACGACGTATGTCTGCGAGTGTTTGAAATTGGTTTAAAATAATTAAATACTTCTAAAAATAATTGTAGTAGCTTGAAAGAAAAAATAAAAAAAAAAATCTTTTCTTGATTTTTCTAACAATAGTCTTTTTCCAACCTCTTTTTAAAGGAGGTTAGAAGAAGA